TTGAAGCAGGGGAGATATTTGTACCTACGGGTACGAATGTAGAATTTGTTCCTCTCTGACCGTTGTTAACAGCAGAGGAATTTGTACCTGGTCGGAAACGTGGAGCGTTTCCTACCTGACGGTTAGAACGAGATTGTAGGATCGCTTTGCGAGTCTTACATTCCCAAAAATTGGATTTGTGGTTTTCACCACAATTTGAACATTTAAATTTCTTAGGATCTTCCTTCACAGGACAGTCGTCCTTTGCGTGAGAGGAATCACCACAATTCATGCATTTAGCTGGCATGTAGCAATTTTTAGTTCCGTGACCCCATCCCTGGCACTTACGGCACTGGGTGAGGTTTTGGAAATTTCCTCCAGTCTTCCTGAAGTGTTCCCACTTCACTCGGACATGGAGCATAAGGCTAGCTTTTTCTAAGGCCTTAAGGTTGTTTAGTTCACTAGACTTGAAGTGAACTAAATAAAAATCATTAGAAATCCCGTTGCGCGAATCGCCAGGACGGGATTTCATTTTCATTTTGATTACTTGGAGTGGCACAACTCCAAGTAATTTTGCCAGTTCATCTTTGATCTGATCCAGGGATTCACCACTGGGCAGTCCTTTCATGACAACCTTGAACACACGTTCAGTTTTGGTGTCGTAAGTAAAAAATTTGTGCTTCTTCTCAGTAAGATACTTGAGAAGACATTTAAATCCGTCCAAGGTTTCAGCCAATACACGGCATTCACCCCGACGTCCAATTTGTAGTGAAAACTTAACTTTCGTTGCGCGCACTTTCTGTCAAACAACTGACGACGACCCGATCATCGATCTGCTGAAGAGCTTCTACAGGGTGGAGGCTTGTGATGAAATTCGCCCATCCGCTACAGCGGATGAAGAGAAGTGTGTCGAACATTTCCGTCGCACACACCTACGAAATGAGGAAGGGCGGTACATTGTGCGTCACCCCTTTAACGAACGCAAGCACGAACTAGGAGATTCACGTGAAATGGCGCTGAAACGCTTTCTGCACCTAGAGCGGAAGCTAGACAAGCAACCAGAATTAAAGGAGCAGTACTCGCTGTTCATCCGAGAGTACGAACAACTCGGGCACATGCGAGAGATTCAGGAGACAACGGAGGAACCAGGATCGGTGTACTATTTGCCACACCACTGTGTGCTGAGACCCACCAGTACGACGACCAAATTAAGAGTTGTATTTGATGGGTCGGCTAGAACGTCCTCGGGTGTATCGATCAACGATATACTGATGACTGGACCAAGTGTTCAGAATGATCTCATCGCGATTTTGCTTCGTTTCCGAGGATTCCAGTTCGTCTTTACGCTGGACATTCCAAAAATGTTTCGTCAAGTTGGCGTACATTGGTTAGATACAAGGTACCTACGCATTTTTTGGAGGTACAACAAAGATGACATCCTGACCGTCCGAGAGCTGCAGACGGTTACGTATGGCCTGGCATCATCACCGTTCCAAGCAACGATGGCGCTCAAGCAAACTGCAGTTGATCACAAGGAGGAATTTCCGGAAGCCGCAAATATCGTCGAAAAAGGGACGTACATGGACGACATCCTAACAGGTGCCGATACGCTAGCTGAAGCATGCAAGCTCCAACGAGAAGTGACGGATCTGCTGGCGAAGGGATGCTTTGGCGCTCATAAGTGGTGTGCCAACCACCCCGATATTGTGAAAGGTGTTTCTGAAGAGCTACGAGGAAACTCGTTCGTAGTATCTGACGAAAATTCGAAGTCGATCGTGAAGACTCTTGGCATGACCTGGGATCCGGTCGACGATTGGTTTTCTGTATCGGTTCCGGAATACGACGTTTTGGATGAAGTGACTCGTCGCAAGCTTCTAAGCCAGCTGGCCAAGATTTTCGATCCGCTGGGCTTCTTCGGCCCCGTGATTACAACTGCAAAGCTGATTCTGCGAGAGGTTGGCGAAATGCAGATTGATTGGGACGAGCCAGTCCCTTCTGAAGTGAGATCCAAGTGGCTAAATTTTCGCACAGAAATAGCCGTCCTTAACAAGGTGCGAATGCCAAGGTGGATTTCCTGGAATGGTGCGTTCAAGCTTGAGCTGCATGGATTTGCGGACGCCTCCGACGTGGCGTACGGAGCGTGCCTCTATACACGAGCAGTTTTTCCAGACGGATCCGCTCAGATGAAACTGGTTTGCAGTAAATCCCGCATTCTACCGATGAAGAGGGCGAAAACTAAGGCTGTCACGACTCCTCGTGCTGAACTGTTGGCGGCCTTGTTACTCGCCAAGCTGACTGTGAAGTTGCAGGACGCTACGGAATTAGACTTCGCGTCGACGAATCTGTGGAGTGATTCAAAAATAGTGTTAGCGTGGATCAGCAAACCACCGAACGTCTTACATACCTACGTTTCGAATCGTGTAAGTGAAATACAAAAACTTACCCCGAATTGCAGCTGGAAATATATTCCTACGGACGAGAATCCGGCCGACCTTATATCCCGAGGAGAGCGACCGAAAAAATTACTCGAGTCTAAGATGTGGTGGACTGGCCCACCCACATTCAACGGTTCTGTTGTAGAGATGACAGATGTAGTAGCTATTCCGGATGAAGAGTTACCGGAAATGCGTGCTGGCGTAGTACTGGCTGTGACTGCTCTCACCAAAAGAATGCCAATGTTTGACAAGATTAGCGATTTCACGAAGGTTGTGCGTAGCACAGCCTACCTGGTACGCTTTGCGATGTTCATCATATCCAGGAAGAAGGAGTTGTTAAAGGGCCCGCTCACTGCTGAAGAAATAAAGCGGGCAACAATAGTGATTGTACGGTTGGTTCAACACGAAACGTTTCAACCAGAGATTCTCGCCCTGATGAGCGGCACGGACGCAAAGCATCGACTCAACGGATTGAAAGCGTTTTTGGACCCGGAAGACGGCGTGTTACGAGTCGGAGGTCGAATCAAGCGAGCGTTCATACCATACGATAGTCGACACCAGATGTTGCTGCCAGCAAAGCACCCGATCACGGAAGCACTCGTCCGACACCTACATCTAGAGAACCTTCACATCGGGCAGAAAGGTCTACTTGCCATCGTACGACAACGATTCTGGCCATTGAACGTGAAAAATACAATTCGCAAGGTGATTCGAAATTGTATGGTGTGCTTTAGAGCAAATCCGTTGAAGACAACTCAGATGATGGGTGACTTGCCATCATATCGTATCCGACCTGCTCCAGCCTTTTCGGACACTGGTGTGGACTACGCAGGGCCTTTTTGGCTTAAGTCATCGTCTACTGCTCTTAAGCCCTATATTACCAAGGCCTACGTGAGTCTCTTTGTGTGTATGCAAACCCGTGCCATACATCTGGAATTAGTCTCCGACTTGACGACGGCCGCGTTTCTTTCTGCTTTGAGACGATTCCACAGCCGACGTGGGTATCCGAAAACAATGCGCTCTGACAATGCAACAAACTTTGTCGGAGCCAAGACCGAGTTGCATGAGCTGTGGCTACTGTTCCAGAACCAATGTTCTACAGGAAAGATCGTGAGGTACTGTACCAACAAGGGAATCGAATGGTCCTTTATCCCACCGCGAAGTCCACACTTCGGTGGCATTTGGGAAGCTGGCGTTAAACAAGTGAAACATCATCTCAAGCGTATTGTCGGTGACCGAAAATTGACTTTCGAGGAGCTGTATACTACGCTGACTCAAATCGAAGCTGTATTAAACTCTCGACCCCTGGCGCCTAGCTCGGATGACCCAAACGACTACACAGCTATAACACCTGCTCACTTCTTGGTAGGCCGCGAGATGCAAGCCATTGCTGAACCGTCGTACTTGCATTTGAAGGAGAACACTTTATCAAGGTGGCAGCTCGTGCAGACCATGCTGCAGCACTTCTGGAAACGATGGACAGCGGAATACCTGCCGGAACTCCAGACTCGATCCAAGTGGCTGAAAACGAACGAAATCAAAGAGGGTTCGCTAGTATTGCTTGTGGACCAGAACGCACCGCCGCTGCAGTGGCCACTAGGAAGGATTTCAGCCGTGCACCCCGGACAGGATAGCGTGACACGTGTCGTTACGGTGAAAACAGCAAATGGAGGAGAGTTCAAGCGTGCTGTGACGGAGGTCTGTTTGCTGCCATTTGTCCATGAGACTTGAAATCGGCATTTCAACGCCGGGGAGCATGTTCGATGATTTGCGCATCCCTACTGCGCTCCCCAACCGCAAGACTTTGGCACACCCTGTGCGATAACAATTCAATTACAACACACAGTCCTTTTCTGTTCTTTTGTTTGACCGAATAAAGTTAGTTGTGCTCCATAGTCATGAGAATCGAGACGCTTTTTATTAGATTGACTACGGAAGAAATACTCGTTGATTGTTCGTAGAAACCGAACCCCCAAAATTTACAGTCCACTCGATACCGTTAACAAACAGAACTACACGTCGAAAATGTGGCATCCGAACTCGGAGTACCCTCGGAGAACCGGGCAATGAAAACCGACACCGAACAATGAAATTGAAGCTGTGTCGTAGATTTTGGAGGTTCAAGGCCAAGGCACTCAAGGAAAACACAGGCAAAACACGACATATGTATCACTAAATGATAACTTTATGAACACTTGAAACTAAATTTCAGCACACCAATTAACAAATTTAAAGCAAAAAATGTTTCGCTGACAAAAAATACGCAGCAAAAGAAAAACACGTAAGCTTTCAAGCGCAGCCTACTGCGATCAATCAGATATAAATCATTAATTTGGTTATTGGAAAAATAGCATGTGTGTTCCTTATGGAAGCCATATGAAAACTTTTTCCAGTGTAAGAAAAAAAAATTGTTTTTAAATTTTCAATATTTTTCTATGTTTTTAGAACAATCATAACGTTTTTTTTTTCTTAGCGATACGTTTCTTTGTAATCAATAGGTATTTGGGAAAAAAAATTGAACGATTAATTTGGACATTTCAAATATGCAGCAAAAGATGAACTAGTAAAGTGTTTTAATACATTTTGTATTTATTTTACAGCATTTTAGGTTGACTCACTAAAATTTTACGAGAATTTTCCATAGATTTTTCTTCTCCAAGGAGACACAATTTAATAATATATACTACACACGCGTTGTCCTGGATTGAAATTTTATCATTTTATTTAATCACATGCATCCAACGAATTTGTATTACTCGTTTTATTTTCTCATTTCCTTTGTCAGAATTAATGATCAATGTTAAATTGTTATTTTGCTTTTCTTCAAAAAAGAAAACTTTCTAGCCTAGCCAAAATTATGTGCAATGAATCTTTGATATTATTAACACTTTCTTTAAATAAATTACTTTGCTCACAAGAATTCCACAGATACCGTCATGAAAAATACACTGTCGAACCACGCCAAACATCCTCAGTTCCATATGTCTCTGTCTACCTTCAAAACTAACATAAACATTATCACTAGCTGACTGACTATATTTACACGGCTAAACTGTACAGTTCTAATTTAAATGGTTCCTTTTTCCTTCCAATTAACGAGGTGTAAAATCAATCTCTAATATCTTCTGTGATCTCAGTTACCGCCAGTAGGGAAAAGTGCCTTCTTAAGTCGACTTTTTCTACATAGAAAACAGATCTTTTTTTTTATTGACGCCTTCTTGAACAGAAGTTTCTTACTAATAAATAGAAATGTACAAAACTGAAAAAATAAACCGATAACTGTTAACAAACATAAAACGAAACCTCGCAAACTCCCTAGTTCCCTAATACTCAAGAGTCTGCTTTGGTGTGCTTTTCACAGTGCGGCTTGAACTCGTCACTCAATTCCCAGTCGTTTCTCCTCGCACAAACCACGTGCGCTTCTTCGTTGCACCCGCGCTGTAGACAGCTAACCGTGGCTCCCTGGTAGGAACATATCCGACACCGATGCCGACAGCAATTCCAAATAGCCGCTTCCAGTCCGACGACGCGTGTCCCAATAATGTGCACCCCGGGTGCCCATACCAGACAGTCTTCGTGCATCCAAACTTCGTATGAGTCGTCACCGGCTTTGATCATACCATAGAAGATATCGACCGGAGGTAGCGGCTCGTCAGGTTCTTGTTGTTGGGCGGTGCTGGTACTTGGTATGATAGGCGACGTGCTGGCAGGTTCAACTCCAATTTTTCGCTTTTTAGCTTTAGGCTAGATATCGGGTAATGAAAAGTATTAGGTAGGTTTATAATCATATTATTAAACGACACAAAACTTACAGCATTTGATGAACCAGCCGTCTCCTCTTTCTTGATCAGCTTTGATTGTAAACTTTCCTTCGTCCGCTTAACATTGAAGAAGTCTTCATCGGTTTGACTCTGCTCGAATTCACTGGATTTGGTGCTGATGATGTATGGACCGAATAAATCGCCAAGCCTTTGTTTGTGTGGCCCCGTCTTGCAGAATACGCACATCCAGCTTGTGTCCGTAGTGTCAGCGTCATACTTTGTGCTCAGTGTGCTAACATGTAGTCCACGGATTTTACTCCTCTCAGTGCTGTTCATGCAGTTTACAAACTTTTTCGTTTTATTTTGCGGTTTATCCGAGTCGTCCTCGTTGATGGGAGTATTGATAACCAGATGACTGCCATCCGATTTAACCTGAACGTAGGGTCCCTTGTATTTCCCGTTTGGATCTACCGCAGCTCCACCTTCGTTAGGTTTCGCTTTACTGTTTTTGCTGCCTGCCGATCCGGAACCATTTCCTTTCCTGCCGTTCCCTTTGGACAATGGTTTCTTGCCACCTTTTGTACCAAAGTTGGCGGCTCTTTCTTCGGCTGCCGCAAAACTTGCTCCTTTACTTTGGACGGGTTTCTTCTTTAGGACCTTTTTCCGCTTGTTCGGAGAGCCACCACCAGCGGATTTGCCAGCATTTGCTCGTTTAGCTGCCGGAGTGAGAACTTTCTTTTGCGTTCCACTCGTACTTGCGACGGGTGAATCTTCGCTAGCTTCAAGGGACTGACCACTGGAAGGTGGTGCTGATTCTTCGCTCTTCCCCGATAGCGCGATCAGAATGTCTGTGGATTCAGTCGGTTGCTTCACTGAGGGCGATTTCTTTCCTGTCGATGGCGATGGCTTGGTACATGGTGGTTCACTTTCATCGATACCGGCGAACATTTCTTCTAGTTTATTTTCCACCTGCAAAAATAATTGCATATTTTTAAAATATATTTCTCTTACCTACATTCTGAAACATCTAGAATTTAGAGGAAATCGTCCAACTTCCATGTTCATTTTTAAATAGCCGCCCAGTGTCAATGGGTTTTACGGCACCCATTTTCAACATATGCGACATCACATATAGCATAATTGCTTGGTCCTATAGTTACAATACTCTACTAATCATAAAAACCTAGACACAAACACCAAATCTCGATTACATTTTCAAAGGGTCGTATCTGCTTTTGTAAACAAAGATTCAAACGGCAATTTGTTGAAACTCTTAGCACTCTACGCAAACTAACAACACCATCTTTTTTGTTTTTATTTAATCATTTTTAAACATTAGTGCCGTGTGGTGCCCGTTCACCGCTCACTTTTTTTTTTGTTGGGTATCAAGCTGGAGCTGCGTGACAGCTTAGTTTTCAAGACTTGACCCATTTGAATAAATTTTGCTTCTATCTTTGACAATACAGCAGAAGGACTAGCCTATGTTGGCCGCTTGAACACTGGATTCCGTATGTATTGTTTCAATATAGTTATAGAAAAAATGCTGTGCCGTGTGCGCATAGATACATCCGCGTAGTAAACCGATTGAATAAGTAAAGCCGTTTCGAACGAAATATTTAAATTATGTAAGTTACGTAAACCGCGCGAGTTCCGAGAGCCGTGCTAGACAACCGACACGAGAAAAAAAGGCTTATTATCATTTAAAGAGTGCCACCAAAATAAATGTGATAGCCTGTGTTGGCAAGTTGATTAATTTTGGTTTCCTCCCTAGATATTCTACTTATTTACTACTGAACTTTGTATCAAATTAGTATATTTAAAGAACGTATTAATCATTTCAAGATTTCGCGACCGCACCGAACAAATTCTATACTACAAGCTCAACAAAACTTTTGGTGAGCTCTATCGCATTGCGAATCACTTCTGCGTAAGCTCCGTAAACGTAGGCGCGTTGATTCCGACAGCCGCGAAAAGTTAAACGTGCATCAATACCACCACATAAGGAAAGATCGATTTTACGTAGGGTTTAGTTCATAGATTAACATTGACTGCTGTTTACAAATGTAAGTAGTAAGAAATAAGTTAACTCAAATGCTTTAACCGCATATATAAGAGATTTCGCGTATTGAGAAAATAATATAGTAACCGAGTACAACAAACTCAGGGGAATACAATACCAAGTTTAAAAGTTAAAAATTGTCACATACCTCTACTTTTACTTATTTCCTAAACTATTCCTCTCCTTGGTAATCTGCTTAATGCTATTGGTCTGCTTGCGTTTTCTTATTAAAGTTCAAGACTAAATAAGAAGATTTATTCTACAACTATAAAGGTTTGTTGCCTCCCTAAGCGGACCCCCCGCATCCTAATTCTTTTGTTAATCTACTTAATGTCATTAGACTTTCTGAAGTTTCTTATTTATGTTCATTTGATGATTATGATATCTCATTAGTCTAATTTAATAAATTATTAAAAGCTCTAATTCACCTAATCAATCATAACCCATGCTTTATTAAGTACCTGCACTTGTGCTTGTAATCTAAAACTAAACGTGTTTCAAGTACTTTTGGTTTTGACCTATAACCAGATAACACCTTCATGTGACTAAAATGCTTCATTGTGAGGTAAGTTTCCTAGCTGATTTTTAAATAATATAGGGTATATGCTCCAACTATGCTCACACGCTTCCACTATGTCGCACCATAGCCATAGTTCAAACACTTATCCCAAATCAAAATGAAGCACATATAAGATTAGTTACAATACCATGTACAAAAATGGTGTTTAACATTGTTCCCTGGGTAATACCTCAATGAAAACAACAATGAAAGCTTGTTACGCAAGTAGATGGAGCACTGTTGGGCACTTTCTGAAATATTTCAATAGTATAATTCCCATGCAAACCCAAATAAATCTATCTGCGTAAAAATAAATAAAATAAGAGTGATTTGGGGCGAAACCCGCCAGTATCACACCCAACGTCAGTGCCTATACGTTAGCGTACTACGACGCGGCTCTCAATCAAAGGAGTAACAAGTGTGATACTATCACTGCTGGACTAGATTTTTGGTTTTCTCATGTAGTGGTTCATCAGTCCCATCTTTGCTTGATTTCCTATCCATATGGGACTTATATGCGATTATGGGCAGTATAGTTGAAGCTACTATTATTTTAAATTTTCTAAATTGTGGAAAATTTCTTTGATCTGTGTTGAATGACAGCACTTACTAGTTTTATATCAATTGAATTGAATGTGCAAATTAAAGCAAAATATTTTAATCTTTAATACTGCAAAACTGCTATTTGAAACAAGATGCTCTAAATTGATATTAAATAAATTATTTGATTGCCAGACAAGGTTTAAAAGTAGCGTAAGGTCGCCATTCACCGGTCAAACTAGCGTGTACTGCCCATTCACTGCTCGAACTCGACTCACCGCTCATATTTAAAAACTAATTGAAAAAGTTCACAAAATGAGTTTAAAAACAGCGTTTAACCTCAATAAATTACAAACCATATAGGGGAAATGGCTCAGATGTTGGCCTATGGATCTAAGATTGGGCCCATCGCTAAAAAGTTTAATTTTATCTAGATGAACATGCATGGGCCCAAATTAGGCGTATTTAGACCGACATTACATCCATTTCCCCTAATGCGTTAAATGGCCAGAAGCAAAAGAAAATAAAAAAAAATATCAATATTGTCATTATTTTTTTGGAATCTCTTGTTTACAGGCATTGATAATTCCTGAAATCCATTCTAACAGCATTGGTTAGGATGGTTTTTTCCACAATGATAATAACCTTTACAGTAGACCAAAGTTTGTAGAATATATTTACGAAAAATAGATTTACTAACTGATTTTGATCTAAAAAGTTGTCAGTGAACGGGCACCACATGGTACATTCTCTCACTATGAACCTGTCATTTCTAGCCTACACTGTGGCAAATAGGCTTAGGAATTTCATGAGGCTCGACTTATGAACGACACATATGAGTTTCATAAGTTTGATTTATGAAAGATGTTCGTCTCTTCGGCTATTATACACCTTTCCAAGCGTTAACAGACGAATCAGACACAGGACCCTTCACACTTAGAAATTTTTACAGAAATCTGTAAAATTTTACCGAAATCAGCTGAACGTTCGGTAAACCGTTTCGCAGATTTCCTGTTATTTTTCACGCATATCTGTGCATTTTTCACGGATATTAATCTGTAAATAATTACAGGAAAACTGTAAAATTGTTTACGGAACATTCAACTGTTGAGATTTCGGTAAAATTTTACAGAAATCTGTAAAATAATCTTAGTGTGCTAATCTCAACGTCCATGGTTCGGTTCCGGTCACGTGTTATTATTTTTTGTCGACATTATTTTTCATAAGGTAAATCATTGAAATTCATACCGATTTCTTGTGGCTAAAATTCATAAGTGGTTCTTATGGAATTCTTACGTTTATTTGCCTCAGTATCTGAACATGGGTTATGGACCCTCCGCATCCTATATCTTATCTCAAATACCAAATGGCAATGGTTTGAATGTATCAATAAAATAAAATGTACTTGCAAATTTCCAAAACATACTTGCTCACAGTAATTCAATTCAAATAATTATAATTTAGCAATTATTTCAATATGCGCTATATTTGCCATATATTTTTTCAGGAAATTACATACTATCAAATAAACACATAACACTCTCACTTGGCCAAGCTTCAGAATCGTCCAGTGGGCAGTGCGTTTTACACTCCAAGTTCCCTTTCTTTCAAATTCACCCAAAATGTTAAACTTTACCCATTGAGTGTTGATCAATCACAATGAAATATTGTGACAGAGCACGGACTTGAGGTCACTAGAATATTAAATAATTTAGGTCCTATTTAGGATTATATCCGAAAAATCCAAATTTGGCCAACGCCAACCAATGCGATTATTGCATATACCTAAACATGATTTTAACCTTAGAGTGTCGATCTTGCTTCATCCTACACTTACATCAAAGCAAGTATTAGACATACCATTGTGCGGAGCTACTTTGGACACATTCGAATTTGTTGAACCAAATGAAGTTGATTAAAGAATCGATTGAATGTTTATCCTCAACTTGCTCCTCTCGGTAGTCGATAAGCATTCGTAATGTATAGTAATGTTATGACTATAAAAGGAACAGAGTTGATATTTCTCCATATTACATCTGCATCATATCAAAAATACATGACTTTTGCAATGTATGGTTAACAAGTAATTTGACTGATCTGACTAAGAATTGTGTACAGGTGGTTTGTTTTTGGATGGAGTTTATGATGTCGATTGATTCTATTCATTTAATAAGCAAAACAGAAGAAAATGTATCACATGTCCAATAAAATAGCCCCTATGTTAAGCTGGGTTTAGACTAGGCAAGTCAAATGATCAACTCAGTTGAATTCAATTGGCTTGAAAAGTGGAGCCTGGTTCAACTTTTATCAATTCAAGTGAGTTGATCAAGTCAGTTGAATGGCATGGTTTACACGTTCAATTCGCGTTCAAGTCAGTTGAATTCAACTGACTTGATCAATTGACTTGCCCTGTCTAAACCCAGCTTAACATTTCCGACTGCAGTGGATGTGAAGCCACACTTCTGCGATTTAATCGAGCAATAACCTCTCACCGCGCATTTCCTCGGGATTTTTCAAATTAAAATAAGCCACAAGCCTATTATGAAAAGAATCTAAGTGTTCGTAACAATACCATAGAAATATCAGTGAGTTCATTCGTGACGTCACGATGCAGAACCTAATTCCAAAACAAGCAGAGAAAAAAATTTACCCTAAATTTAAGTTCTTTTTACTTAATTTTGGGTAATTTTGAGTTTTGCATCCCACTCACTTTTTGTTGTTGTCAAAAACGGAACGAGAGATTCGACTTTCTCATGACTATCGTTCAATAAGCTACTAGTGAGTATATGAGATATTCTCAAATTTGAGTCAATTGAACTTAATTTTGGGTAGAAAATACATACGAGTAAGTAATTATTTTTGCCGTAGCCAAATGCAAACTACTATAAGCGGTTTACTGAAAATTAGCTTATTGAATGGAACATGGGAGATGAGTGAAAAGAACTTAATTTTGGGTAATTTTTCGGTTCCGTGAGGATATTCACCCATATTCTCGTTTTCGTTCGTTCTACTCACCGTTTTGTAACCTTTGAACGAGACTTCATCATATCCGTAAAATACGCCTTCGTTATCCGTGCCGAACATCCTGCATAGGAAATGTAGCTTCGATGTTTAGCGAACTCTTCACTTCGTAACGGTTTTCAAACAATGATTACTAGGCAGCCGTTTAGCCCATTTTACAAACAAAAACGAGCGAGTTTGTTTTGATTCGCATAACCTGCACTGAAATTGGGCGATCCTGGATTGATCTTCTGGTAAAACGTTTCTGTTCGTCGTTGTTATTTTGTTTACACGCTATTTCAAAACTACCCAAATTTGGGTAGAATCCACCCAGATCGGTCAAAACTGAACCTACCCAAAAACGGGTAAACTGTGTTGGGAGTGACAAGTTGACAAATGAACAACGTCGATTGGATTCATGTCGATGTTCCTTATTTGTCAACTTGTCACTTCAAACACAGTTTACCAATTTTTGGTAGGTTTAGTTTTGACCGATCTGGGTGGATTCTACCCAAATTTGGGTTGTTTTGAAATAGCGTGTAGATCGATTCAAGAATGAATTTTCAAAAGGACGTATCCATGGTGAGTACATATAGGTGTAATAATCTGTTATAATGTGTCAATAATGCATGGTTCAGCCATGTTGGATTTTTGTATGGAGGAACGACCGAGTTTGTTTACAATTTGCTCTAAAACCGCACTCCCTCCACGATGATATATAGTGACAAAGCTGCATCACCATGCTATACCCACTATGGACGTATCTGCTTTTGAAAACAAATATTCAAACGTAAATTCGCCGAAACTGTTAGCTCGCCCACGCAAACTAACACCAGGATAAAGTTTTCCCAACGGTGATGTTAGTTTGCGTGGACGAGCTAAGAGTTTCGACAAATTGATGTTTAAATTGAATTACCGAGGTGAAGCAATCGGTTAAATTGTGTGGGTGAAACCCCTGTATGATACAAGCAATTAGTGACGTCATTAATTACGTTTACGTTGATTTTTGGTTTACTAATGCAACAATATTTCACGATCTGTTTCACCTCTCTCTGTATCTCATTGGCTCAACGGAGCTTAGCTGCTACTAGCTACCCAATGATGTTTATATAAGGTCCGGGCCAACAGGCAGCTTGCTGGTGTTAGAAGCAGAAATATTGTAAACATATTGCTGAGTACTCAAGTTATGACGTCACACTAACATTCCAACTGCGAACAGTGAGTTTTACGCCACTGCCAACAGCAGACATTTTGCAATGAAATACGAACACCACTAAACATTTGCACATTTCACTAATACCAATAAGCCTGTTGGCCCGGACATTATATAAAGGACATTGCTAGCTACCGGACTTGCGAGTGACCATTAGTTATAAAGGTAAGTTGCGAACCAGGGAAGTAACCCGGTGGTGTACCCAAAAGGCCTGGATTCAATCCCAATCGGCGCCGCTGATTAGGTAAAGCCGTTGGTCCTCAGTCTATGAGTTTGATGGGTCGATATGTGGAGTCCAGATGTGTGAGCTGCCTTCTCCCTGGCGTCGGTAGCATTGGTACACAGTACGGAAAACAAGATTGACGAGAAACAAATCAAGGAAAAAAAAAAAAGCAATCTCGGACAAGCGCCAGAAGCTGTCTATGCTATGGATGTGGCGGACTTTCTTGTCTCCGTCAGAGGCGCATCCATGTTCACATAATATGGGTAAGACAAATGGGCATATAGGGGTAAGAAGGGCATAGCGAGCATCCCGTGCACCAGCTCGGACTTCCGGTCGTTCGGAACAAATTGGTTTGGTGGTAGGATCAATATCATAATTAAATTGAACCTACTACCAGTTTATTTGTTTCATGCAACTAGAGATCCAGGGCCAAACTACGGGATGCTCACTATGCCCCAGCTGTTCACTATGCCCCTCTTCCCCCTATTAGTTATGTAATTAGGGTGACTCCCGTCTGAAGTCCCCACCCCTCGTTTTTAAGAGACGAACCAGGCCAAGGCTGAAAGTCTCTTCAATAAAGCAGCACAAATTTGGGCAGATAAAAATTCTTGCTAATTAACCACTTCATTCGAGCAGTTAAAATGACGTTTACTACCACTCGAACTTTGAAATAAAACATTATTTTGAGACTTTTTCTTCTAGAACCACGAAAAAAGTAGCCAACATTTGTGCGTTTCATAAAAAAATAGAAATTAGTTGGTCCAGCTTTGTGTAATCGCTGTTAGAAAGTCACGCCAAAACTGCTTGTCAAAGTGGTAAATTTTAACAGTATACCATGCATTGCCCGTTCACCGCTCGACCTCCATTCACAGCTAAATTTGTTGAAAAGGCTATACTCATTAACGTTAAATATTATAACGTTTTGTACCCGCAACGTATTTAATGAAATCCTGGTGAAAATATCGTTATTGATTACATTTCATGGTACCAATTCGGTTAAGCATATTTTATTAACACACCCAATTTCCTCTAAAGTCAACATGGCTTTAAAAAGCTACAATACCTACCTCTTCGAAGCTTTTATCCGTCTCATTTTCATTTTTGTTCAAGTCTGCTTTATCACTGCCGGACGATAAGGAACCTTTAGCTGATGGCGTCTCCTTTGCAGGACCATTACAATTACGGCCGCTTTCACTATTCTTCCCAGCGGAAGCGACCGCTTCAACTGGCAATCGCTGCGTATTGGCGCCATCGTTTTCGGTGCTGGAAATCATGGCCGCTATCTTGTCGATAGTTTCACAATCGTCCGAATTGGATTCACTATCCTTTCGGGCTGAGCCCATAACGGCCGCTGCTGCCGCCGATAGAACACTGGATATAACGGAACCAACTGCCGGCGATTTACTCTCTCCCCCGTTGGCAGAATTACCCTCGGATAAATTCTGCAAATTAATTCGAGTACTGTCCGACAGATCCGTAATATGAGGACTATGACTACTATCACTGGCCAAACCTTGACTGAGGCTACTAATTCCCTCCAACGCAAGGGTAGCAATATCGTTGCGCACCGCTATGTTTGGTCGCATAGGATCGATTCCCTCGATTCGATCACACTTGTCAGCACTGTTGTCGCCTCCACCGAGGAAATCATGCATTCTGTCCAGCTCTTCGGCACCCATCTTATTGGTACGGTCGGGCTTTCGTCGTCTTCGCGATTTGCTCGAATTTGAATCGGCTGAATCTTCGTTCGAAGTGATGCTTTGATTGGGTGATGCTCGATCAGTACTGGCTGCTGCTGGAACTACACTAGTCGACAGTACTGGCGAGACAGCGTTTGGTGAGCTGATAGTTTTGGTACCCGAGGTATCGCTTGTTTCTAGTGTCGATGGCACGTTAGTAGGATTCGATTGAAAAGATTTATTTACAGAGGCAGTCGACGATTGGGCCATCGACTGTAGCAGCACCGACGCCGGTGGGCTGCGACTTCGCGTCGGACTATGATTAGGAGGAACGGGTGTCCGCAAGGGGCAATCTGTGGGAAATAGAACATAAATGAGCAACACTCACTTGAAACGAACAGGAATCTACGAACTTCTTTTCGGAGATATTGAGATGGGATTACTTTGCATTGCATGCAAAAGAATATCTTTAACCAAATCGGATGATTCGTTGTTAGTTGGAATCTGGAAACGAAAAAGGTGAGCGCACAATCCTCTTTGAAATTACTTGTAAGATACTTACAATATCCCTTCCGTTTTTGCCAGCTTCATTGTTGATTTGTTTGGCATCCTTGATATGCAATCCACCAGGGATCATCGCTGCAAATTCACTGGGTACCATCGTTGGCAATGAAGCTGGTGCTCCACCAATATGGCCACTTAGTGGCCTGTTAATACTATTACTACCATCAACACAAGCACTGCTGTTACCACTACCGCTACCGCTACTACTGCTACTCATCATGTTATAATATCCATTTCCACCGGCACTGCCGGATCCTAGTCCCATATTGTTGGATCCACTATTTCCCAGAAAGCTACAGGACGCAGCATTTCCACTTCCACTTCCTGAACCAGCACTTCCCCCACTACCACCCCCTGCACTTGCGGCCGAATGTTGACCAGAACGATCCTTTAGAGCAGCTGTTGATTGTATCACCCCACCGATCTGAGCTGCCGATGGGGAACGGTTGTGATTTCTGATTCGAAAAAAAAATCTTAGATCTATAGAATAAATACAACACAAAACAATGGCTTACGTATTCATGTGATGATGCGGCTGATGCTGCTGTTGATGAAGTTGAGAATTATGGTGCTGTTGCTGTTGTTGGTTGTGTCCTGGAACCATTTTAGGATGAAAGTGATCATTTTGATCCGGCATCGGACCTCCCCCCAGTGCGGGTGGAATGTTAGGTGACAGATGATGTTGAGACGGTCCTGGCGGACCCGGCTGCAGGTTGCTACCTTTCGGAGATGGGGTGCTTCTCGCTGCCGATGACAGGGATAAATCTACCGATCCTAGCGGCATTCCGGAACTACGTCCAAACGTTGGCAGCATTGGGTTGATTTCTAGATTCTGTCCAGGAATGAGGGATAAATATACTATACCATACGAACAAACAAGCAACAGTAGCTTACGTTCTTGTGATTAGCAGTCATAAAGTTGTACAGCTGATCCTGATGGGTGGGTGGAGTATGCCACGTAACCGGAGATCTCGCCATGGATCGTTCACTGGACATATGAGCCAACTGAGGTTGCCGTGGAATGTACGGTACCTGCAATCATCATTCAGAGCTTGAGTATCAACAGCAACAAATTTTTTACTTCAATATTACCTGTAGCGGATTCCATGTAGAATTCGGTTGGCCTAATCGTCCGTGGGGCGGATTGTGGCCGGACATTTTGTTGGTTTGTTTGGTGTGCTATTACTTTTCACCAACTAGGGTATTCATTCGGGCGATTGTTGACCGTTTTAGCGGAAAATGATTGAGTTATTATGCCTGTTGAAAGTTGTAGAATTTAAATTTATAAGTAATATATGGATTTCGAGTAGTGCATGAAACTGATCGATCTTCTTTGCTAAGATAACTGTCAAGAAAAGCCATAAGAGAATTCGCCAATCGAAGTTTTTAAAGCATGGACTAGTTAAAATATGGAAGCAGAGTTTACTTTATAGCAGCGCCCCTAGTGATCAGCTCTGGAATATTTTGACAGCTGTTTGTTTTGAAAGTGGTCCTCTTTCAGTGTTGACAGTAGTATCATAGAGGAAACTCTATGTTTAAGCCGGCGCCGGTGGTGTAGTGGTAAACGTCCCTGCTTTCTCACCCCGATGGGTCTGGGTTCAATCCCAGCCGAGGTCTTTGGGATTTTTTTAAGGCATAAAAATCTCTAGTGACGTCTTCCTTCGGAAGGGAAATAAAGCCGTTGGTACCGGCCCATGTGTATTAAATTGGTACGATATCTTTGCCGGTGTGGAAGCTTCCTTCCTGCACATTCGAGTTCCTTCAATGCATGGCAATCGATGTCGGTCGGTGATTGGCACTAGATTGCGGAACAGAGATCGACGTTAAATAAAGGAAATAAGAAGAAGAAGAAACATAGTGTAGTACTAGAATTTCGACTAGAATGGGGTACGTTTATAGATGTACTTGTGACCAATAGGCTAGTCAAGTAGTGTGCCAATTTAAAATCGGTAGCTTCCACCGGTTGGTAGTATCGTCACGATTTGTGCAATTGTTAAAAAGTTGTGCCAGGTTGAATACGAGAGAAGATAATTAATCATGCACAAATTGATCGAAAATTCGACGTGGTCATCTCATCAGCTCAAAAAAAAGGCCTCGGCACGAAGCCGCAAATAGCCCCGTCAAGTTAAAGTTCGTTTCTGCGGACAAATTCGCCCGGGGTATATTCTTCCCCTCCTGATAGTGCTTTTGGTTTGCGTGAGCGTTCTTCGGTTCGCATGAAAAGGGCCTAACAAGTTGTTTGTAAAAGTTGATAGGCCCTTTTCTGAAGTTACGTGAGCATTATGTCATCAAACGTCAATACCTACACTGAACCAATATGACATATTCCTAATAAATTTGTGCTATAAGAAAATCCAATGAAAGCGATATGATTGAAAATGTGTCAGGCAAATTCTATATGAATATCACTTTCATTTTGCAGCGTTTGGTGGGGCAATGGGAGCGCAAGTCAATCCAAAGCCGAAGATAAAGGAAGGGTAATGACTGAATATTCTATGCGAACCACTAGAACGCCATGGGAAAAGGAAGGGATTGAAGAGGTCAGTTATTGGGGGTTTTGAGGAAATGACACATAGTACTAGATTTGTGCTGCAAAATGTAAAGAAACCGAAAATCCATCTCCCACTGATTCATCCTTTCACATATATACCAAATTGATATTTTAAAGCAACCATCAAAATAAACAGACAATATATGAAAAGGCTAGTTGGCAGTTGCTTTAAAGGCTAGGATCTAATGTGGGTGGCCCTTAACTATTTTGTTAATCTACTTAATGTTATAAGGCTGTCTAAATTTTATTATTCAAGTTCGTTTGATGATTATGATATCTCATTGATAATTGAATAAATAATTGAAATCTCTAATCTACCTAATCAATTATAACCCATGCGTTATTAAGTACCTGCACTTGTGCATGTAATCTAAAATTTAACGGGTTTCAAGATGTTTTTGACTTTGACCTATATTTATTATATATTAGTTCGTCCCAGGTGACACCTTCAAGTGACTAAAATCGAAGACATCATATCAAGAAGACTGGCAACTTTGCCAGAATCCAAGCGACAGATACAATAGCGCTGCGCTTGAGTGAAGGTGGAAGCAACGCATATAAAAATGAGCAAATACACAAACCCTTCTTCTGAGGATGTAATCTTTGCTATCATATTCGTTTGAAGCATTTACCTTTGAGCGACAGATGACGCGATTGTACCTGTCTCATAGCGTTCGTATGAGAAAATGGAAGAGTTGCCAGTCTTCTTGATTTGTTGTCTTCGCTAAAATGCTTCACTTTGAAGTTAGTTTCCTAACTGATTTTTAAATTATATAGGGTATATGCTACAACTATGCTTACACGTTTCCACTATGTCGTCCACAAAATTACGTATGGGTATGTCACAATAGAAGCACGCCACAGTGGAAATCCCGAGCCATAGTTCAAACACTTAGCCCAAATCAAAATGAAGCACATATAAGATTAGTTACAATACCATGTACAAAAATGATGTTTATTAACATTGTTCCCTGAGCAACGCCTCAATGAAAACAACAATGAAAGCTTGCCACGCAAGTAGAAGGAGCACTGTTGGGTAGCTTCTGAAATATTTCAATATTACAATTCCCGTTCAAACCCAAATAAATCTATCTGTGCTAAAACAAATAAAACAAGAGTGATTTGGGGCAAAACCCGCCAGTATCGCACCCAACGTCAGTGCCTGTACGCAAGCGTACTACGACGCGGCTAACAAACAAAGGAGTAACAAATGTGACACCATCACTGCTAGACCAGATCTTTGGTTTTCTCATGCAGTGGTTCATCAGAGAGGGGAAGCTCAGTAATCCTCTTCGCATGCTTATGACGCTATTCCGCCACGGCATAAACCAACGATGCCGGACCTAAACCAATCGTCTCTAACGCTCCACTATGAAGCATAAGATTAGGCCGCCCACCAACGTCCTTTTAACCTGGACGTTAAGACTAGCCAAGGGGAGGGTATGACATATCAACAGGTTTTCATCATAAAATATATCAGACAATATTAATTTAAATCGTATCCATCGCTAAACACGTTCGAAGTAAAGGAATATTATGTACTAAGTATGTGAAAAAATCATTGCATATCGCAGTCATAGCTTTTAAGTGATAATCCAATGGAATCTATCAATTATCACATAGAATGAATAAATCTTCTGATATAGTTATAAGATGGATCCAATAAACCGGACATGTCGATTTGTATCAGTGTACTGTGATTCTATACACTCTTAGCTTGATTCAGTGAAAATTTAAAGAAAATAAAATACCCAAAAATGCCTTTAATGGCAGCGTTTTTAATGTGTCCGGATCTTTTCGTGTTCAACCTTTGGTCAACAGCACTGTTCCTGCTTCCAGATTATACACCAGTCGAACCCGTTTTCGTAACTATTTTTGTTCGTTTCCTTAAAGGCATAATCGTCTTTGGTGAATCACTAGCCACTCTATCCAGGTTTCCATGCTCGGTAATGGCGGCCTGTTTGTATGAATAAATGTATCCTTCACTGTACTTTTTGACACTATCTGGATGTTCGGATTTTGACCCCTCCCTTTCCCTCTCCCAGGAACAGAAGAAAATGGAACAACATACGCTCCTCCTTTCTCGCTAGTAATCATTTGAAGTAGATGCAGAATTTCTCTGTTGCCAAGTGAAATGGAAGGGAATCTTTCGAAAACGGTGATGCTACGTTCCATTGTTTTTGTTTTGACGTGACTCTTATACACCGACTCTATGCCAGACCTTGGGAGCTTTTTGTTTATTTATTTATTTGTTTTCTTGCCTATTTATTCGTCACATCAAGAACAACATGTGAAAAGGGCATACAAGCTTTTTGTAAACAAACCTTCTTATGCCCTTTTCTCGCCACCCACATGACACTCACGCAAACCATCAACATCACCGGGTAGGGTAAACTTTCCCCTTCCCGATGATGCTGCTGCTTTGTTTACAAAGGTTTGTTTACAAAAAGCTTGTATGCCCTTTTCACATTTGACTCTTTATGTATTAGTGCATTTTTTTTTTCTTTTTTCCTTTGGTTTGTTTTTTCCGTCGATCTTGTTTTCCGTGCTGAGCACCAATGCTACCGACGTGCCAGGAAGGCAGCTCTCACACCTGGACCCTACCTATCGACCCATCAACTCATGAACCAACGGCTTTACTTCCCATCCGAAGGAAGGCGTGATCAGAGATGTTATGCCTCAGAACATCCCGGCGGCGCCGACTGGGATTGAACCCAGGCCTGCTGGGGTGAGAGGTAATCACGCTTACCACTACACCACCGGCGCCGCTTAGTGCATTTTTTAGATGTTTTGCCTAATTTATTTTAGACATTTAACTTTTTTTCAGAGTGTCTCTATGTTTCGAGTCAAAAGCATTTTGGATCGTGAAATATTTGTTTAGATCATATTTATCTCTTTCCGCTAGGTATTTCACACAGTGGAAAATTGTGTGTTCAGAGGTGTTCAAGCTATCACATAAATCACAGAACATTTCATCCTTGATTTTCATCTTGCTCAGCCAGAGAGCGTGTCCGGCAATCAATCGCTTGAGAGTTCTAACTTCGGTGTTTGAGAGTGGTAGATTATTATACCAGGACTTAACGTTTATTCCGGTTTGGAAATTGAAAAACTTTCTTCCTTTTCCATACTCTTGAGTGTAATTAACATACCACTGTTTATGTTGTCGGTGACCTCCTCTTTGATCCAATTGCTAATTCTTCTCTTTGTATTGCAGCTTTAGCGAGTCAATCCACTATTTCATTTCCTTCCAGATTAACGTGTCCCGGAATCCATTGGATACAGGTATCCGTAGCAGTTGCTTTCGTTATTATGTCCTGTATTAATTCATCCCGTTCGTTTGATTCCAGTTGACCTTTTATATTTTCAAATCCTGATTTAGAGAGTCGGTCAGGATAACCGTCCTTCTAATTTGGCCACTTTCGAAATATTGTAGCGTGACAAAAATCGCTTCCAGTTCCGCTGACATGATACAAACAGAATTTTCAGGCTTAATTTGAAGTTGCAACTTTCATCAAAAATTCCAATTCCACAGTGAATATCATCCTTCGTTGCGTCCGTGTAAATCATGCGATGATCTTTATACTTTCCGTGAATCCTCCCTAAAGCCACTTGTTTCAGGGTCCTGCTGGAAGTATTATTTTTCGTCCATGGCCTGTCGTCCAATTCTGTCTCAACTTGTATACCATCAGATTGATCTGGACTAACT